TGACAGAGAGGGAAGGTTTCCTGTTTATACGTTTTAGAATCTTTTTTACTAATGCAGTTAAGCAAAAAAGAATTTCATTCTTGACAGCTGATTTGAAAAGCACATGTTTTGGAGGAAAAATTAAGGAAATCCCAGACTTCAGTTACTTTTATAAAAATGGATTAAGGGATGTGTAATGTTACTGATTTTCAATACTAACAGCTCACTTACATTAAGTCATTGTTACATGCTGCTGTATGTTTTATGTAGATTATCATACTTGTTGAGAGAGTTGTAGCATTTTTATTCGAATTTTACCAGTGAAGAAACACCTGGTGAAGTTAATAATTGTCAGAGCTCAGAATCACATCCTGAAAAGCAGACCATAGAGCCTTCACCAAAACATCTCCATCCATATTATATGTACATTTTAAATATACCTTCGTTAGATAGTAATTCATCATACATTTTTTCTCAGTATGAATCTCTATCATTGCAAGTAAATGTATTCTATGCCATAATATAGCAGACCACAATTATTTAGTTTGTCCTCTACTGTAAAATTTTCCTCTGTCTTCTAATTTAAGATACTCATTTTTAAAATTTATTCTCTGGAAATTCTGCATAATGTCGATGGATTCTATCATTGTGAATGATACACAGTTGTGATATTATACTATACTACAATCACCAATTAGAGTAACCAGCTGAAAGATACACGGGATCTCTCAGTATTATTTCATAACAGTAAATATGAGTCAACAATGCTATTAGTTTAAAAAAGAAAAACTTTCACAGAAAAATGTTCTCTGACATCCTTGGGCATACATTTATGTACTACATAGAAATTTCCTTCATGTAAGTTCCAAAGAGCGGATTCTGAGTCAAAATCAGACTTTCACCAAGTGCCTGTGTGCGCCAGATGCTGCGAGGTGAGCGCTCAGAATGAATGGTGAAAGGGACCGAGCCGCTCCCGGTACGTTGTTCGCAATCCAGCAGGGAAGGGAACCGGAATGGAAGCAGCTCCAGGCACCTGGGAGCAAGGAAGGGCCGAGGAGCATCCGAGCTGCCGCCCAGAGGTGCTGGGAAGGGGCGTCACCCTGAGGACCGCCACGTCTGCACCAGGGCACCCGGTCCGGAGGCCACACGAGGTGCGAGTTGGGTGACACAGCCCCTTTTCACAGAGGAAGGGCTGTCTCCGGTGGGCAGGACGTGCTGGGAGTGGCACTGTCCGCCGTGGCAGCCCTCTCAGGGCCGCTCTCTCGGGGCCGCTCTCAGACCCCCGCCGGGAGAATGTTCTGGACTCCATTTCCCAGAGGTCTGCGAGGCCCGGCCCCATGAGGGGCGCCGAGTTGCACGCTGGGACACGCAGGGACATGTAGGCGCTGGTTTCCCGGGATACCGTCCGGGGCCCTCCTGAGCCTTGCGCACCCTCCCGAGGTCCCCGCGGTGGTTGGGCCTGAGCGGGGAATTGTTCGCTTCCCTGGAAGAAACCAGAACCCAGGGGTGTGGCGGGGATGGCGGTGAGGGAGCCGCCCCGCTGAGAGGGCGCGAAACAGAGCCTCAACCTGTGGCATCGAGGTGGGGCGCGCATGCGTGTGTCTGCATATATGTATATATATATGTGTGTGTGTGTGTGTGTGTGTGTGTGTGTGTCCGTGTGTGTGATGTACGCGCGCGCACGCATATGGTGTGTGTCTGCGCGCACACGTGTACATGCGTGGGCAGGAACATGCACTTGCTAGTGTGTGCTCCCGCGTGTCTGTGTGTGTGTGCGCGTGCATGTGCGTATGGCCGGTTCTGTGCGCGAGCGCGCATCTGTGTCGAGATCCCCGCGCTCGTGCGCACTGTGTCTATGTCCGCGTGAGCGCGCGCTCTGGCCGCTTGGGAGGCCAAGGCCGGACCCCGCGACTGGGATGTGTGCGCATGCGCATTAGTGTCGGCCGGGCAGGCGGGGACCGAGCGCGTGTGACGCACTTGCGTGGGAGTTGCCGGCTTGACGAGACTGGCTCTGCCCTCGTAATTGTGACACAGGTGTGCGTGTGAGCGTCACTGGGGGCCTTGGGGACCGTGCTGGCGGAGCATCTGCATTGGTGACGCAGCCGCTGTCTCCGCGCCACTCCGTGCAGAGTGAGACATACGTGCGTGCGGGCTCCGAGGGGGTGACGGGCACAGGACGTGTGGCGCATTCGCTTGAGAGTGGGGCTGACGCAGCCGGGCCCTGTGTCCGTAACTGTGACGCAGGGGTGTTCTGGAGGCTTTGGGGCTGGTGGCGCCCGGAGCGTGAGAGCGTCTGCGAGGCGGGAAGCGGCCGGCGGTGTCTCCGGGACTCTGCTCCGTGGGGTACGTTTTCGCGGGCTTTGCGGGGCGGCGCGGCCGGGATGCGTCTCCGTGGCTGACACGCGTGTGTGTCTTCTCACTTCTGCGAGGTTGGCAGGGCAGACGTGTGTTTCGTGGCACCGTGTGTTTCCGTGCGGCGGCGGGAGGGCAGGTTCGCGCTCGGGGGACCGAGTGATTAGGCGGGTGGCCTTTTGTGCGAGCTCGGCTGTTCGCGGAGGTGCAACCTGTGGCTCGGACGTCGCTGCCGTTTTCTGTCTTCGCCTCGCAGCCGAGCGGAACCTGCCAAGAAAAGTGGCTGCGCGGGGACGTAAGAGCCCGAATCCGGTGGCGAAAATGATCCACAAGAAAGATAAAGACAGTCACGAGGGGGCAGTTTTGCAGGCAGAAGGGCCGTGCGTGCAGGCCACCTGCGTGACAGGAGGAGGTGGCGTCGGGTAGAATTCCTTTGGTAGAGAGAGCGGCCCCCGGGTGGGGGAGGTGGGAAGAAGGGGCAGCTACGCATTGCACAGCCTCGGTTTCGGAGCCTGGTCTCCAGGAATCTCTCAGAAACTCAGAGCCGTGGCCCTCTGATTTCTATTGGTTTCAGATAGGGCCCGGGGCCAGGGTGTCCGGAGGATATTTTCCAATGCTGCCTGCACTCCAGAAAGGCCCTATTGCATCATTTTTTATCTTCCTCTTTCCCTTAGGTCAGCATTCTTCAGAACAGGCGTGTCTGCGGGGGAAGGATTGCTGTACATCTTAAAATAAAGGTTCAGGTGAGTTCCCCTTTTTCTGTTACATGATTTGTGTAGATAGGACTTAACCCGGACTCGAGATGTAGATTACCAGGATTTCATTCCTGCCTCTGCCTCTGCCTAGCTTACTGCACTCTCTGAAGATAGGGTCTGGTGTCAATACAGGTAAAACCCTTATAGAACAGTCCCTTGTAGCGTAAGTGCTCAGGAAATCCTGTTGTTATTATGTGGTAGGTCTGGATGTGTATACATCGGGAACAACATACATATGAAGGTAGTTGTGATGGGTATTTGTAAGTTCACAAAATGAACCAGAGCCTCAGTGGTCTACAATAGTAATCTTTAACCTGAGGTCCTTCCTTTAACTCCATTTGTTACTTTCCAGGGGAAAATGTACAACACTTAATGTATGTTTCTCAAGGTGTCTTTTTTTCCTGAGGAGATACTCCATAATTGCATGACATTAAGAATGGTGTGCATACCCCAAAGATGTTAAAACCCGTTGGTCTAGTCTAGAATCAAAGACTGTTACCTTGTCCACAGTTAGTGTTCAGGATGGGGGAAATGTTTAAGTAATCATACCACATTCATTTTATGGAATAGCTTGCGGGTACAAGGAAGTATGTTTAGAGATAGTCATAAATAAAAATGCATGTGATGTAATATTAGGCACTCCTAATAGTTATTAACAGCATGTGTGCAATGTCCTTTAATTACCTAGAAATCTCATATAAGGATACACTTTGCAAATACCATATCCAACATGACAGTTTCATTGATGATTCAGTGAAAGAAGGGAGGAGTGCAGCCATGTTTATTGAGCACGTTCTCTATACCAAAGTCTTCTGTCTACATGGTATATACTCATTAATTTATTCTTGTCTTAGTTTGCACTGCTATAACAAAGTACCATCGACTGAGTGGCTGAAAGAACAGACATTTATTTCTCATAGTTCTGGAGGGTTAAAGTCCAAGATCAGAGTGCCAGCATGGTCAGGTCATGGTGAGGACCCTGTTCCACGTTACACACGGCCACGTTCTTGCTGTGTCTTCACATGGTGGAAAGGGAGCTGAGAGTTCCCTGGGATCCTTTTTATAAAGCATTAATCCCATTCACAAGGACTCTGCCCTCTGGCCTAATCACTTCTCAAAAGCCCTGTTTCCTAATACCATCACACTGGGGGATAGCATTTCAAAATAGGAATTGGAGGGAAACAAAACGTTCAGTTCACTGGGAATCTGCAGAGGTAATTTAGCTACGTTTTTGTGTTTAGGGTGGGATTTTGTTCCTGAGACAGAGTGAAAGGATGTTTCAGCATGGGAAGGTTGTACCTGTTTCAGACACTGTTTTTTCACTATTAGGCCTTGTATCAGTTTCCTTTTGATGCTGTACTAAATCACCACAGATTTATTGGCTTGACATAACACAAATATATTATCTTATAGTCCTAGAAGTCATAAATCTAAAGTGGGTCTCACTGGGCTAAAAACCAAGGTGCTAGTAGGGCTCTAGAAGGTGTTCCTGCTTGGAGACTCCCAGAAATATCCTATTTCCTTGCCTTTCCCAGTTTCTAGATGCTGCTCACGCACCTTGGCTCATAACCCCTTCTTCTATCATCAAGCAAACAAAGACAAGTCCTTTTTCCATCACATCACATCCCTTAACTCTGAAGACAGAGCACATTCTATCTTCAAATCTTTCTCTTCTTCTGAACCTCTTATAATTTTAAGGACACTGGTGATTACATTGGGCCCAATGGGATAATTCAGGATAATCTTCTCTATCTTAAAGTCAACTGATTAGCAATTTTGAGTCCATCTGTAACCTTAATTTCCCTTTGCAATGTAAGGTAACATATTCACAGGTGCCAGAATTACCATATGGACATATTTCAGAGGCAGTGATTTTGCCTACCATAGGCCTAGCCGTTCAGAGTTTCCCGAATGATGACCATATACCTCCTCCCCCATAACCATGGTCCTTTTTGTTTGTTAATTATTTAATTTCAGACTCTTGTTCTATTTTTTATAATAGGATTAATGTAGCCCTGCGTGGCGGGGTGGGAGGGAATTGGTCCCTAAAGAGCTCTCAGAGAAGAATCTCTAAATTACCCATAATTGTACCATCCAGAGATAATTACTGTTAATATTTTGGTATGTATGTTTCCAGTCATCCTCTTTGCCTCTAAGCATGTGTGTGTTTTGTTTCTGGATCATTGAGTCTTGCAAATTATCATGTAAAAAAGCCAAAGATTCTCCAAATCTTAGTTTATTAACAGAATCCAACCCAGCCATGGGTCACATTATACCTGTGTGCATTTTGGGAGGAGAAGGGCATGCCAGTGATCTTTGTCTTGCTTTCAAATATCTCTCAAATATTTCTACCTTATAGGATTAAAGATACCACAATTGAATCTAATCCATGGCAACACATTTTCAAGAAAGAGCCTTTTAGAATTAGAGATTCTAAGATTTTAATGTTTGTTTCACAGGACGTGGCAGTGATCACTAGGTGCCTTATAAGTACGGACTTTCCAAATAACATTAGCAAGGTTATATATGCAAGTAACATATATGGACTATGTAAGTAACATTGCCAAGATATAAGAAAAAGAATAAGATGGCAATAGTTTAAAATGTTCACAAATACCTCCCATTTCACATAGGACACATGACTCAGCCTCTTGCTAATGTTCTCAAATTGGCATTTTCTCCGGTTAGATTCGTTAAGTTAGATGTCTTATGCAGAATCATGTCTCTGTTTCCCTAGTTGTTGGTGGAGAGGGAACATTTCCTCTTTATGTGTCTTAGCATCTTTTTTGCTAATGTGGTTAAACAAAAAATTTCATTCTTTATATCAGGGTCTGAAAGTTGTTTTGGTTAGTATTGATTATACAGACAGCAGGTTCAAGAAGCACATATGTTAATGAATAAATAAATAACAAAATAAAAAATTAGACTGGGTGCAGTAGCTCATGCCTATAATCCCAGCACTTGGGGAGAGTTGTTTAAGGACATGAGGTCCAGACCAGCCTGAGCAACCTAGTGAGATCCCCATCTCTACAAAAAATAAAATTAGCCGAGTGTGTTGGCTAGCTCCTGTGGTCCTAGCTACTCGGGAGGCTGAGGTAAGAGGATCACTTGGGCCCGGGAGATCAAGGTTGCAGTGAGCTTGATTGTGCCACTGCACTCCAGTCGGGATGACAGAGTGAGACCCCGTGTCAAAATAAAAAAGAAATTAGAAGGTGGGCACATTGGTTTGTTTCTGTAATCCCAGCTACTTGAAAAGCTGAATCAGGAGAATCACTTGAGCCCTGGAGTTCCAGACCAGCCTGTGCAACATTGCAAGACCCTGTCTCTAAAAGAATAATAATAGTTTTAAAAAGAAGCACATGTTTTACCACAAGAAAAAAAAGCAATTGACAGACTTGAGTTTATCTTCAAAAATAATAGGTAGCTTATATTAAACAATTGTTACATATTATTTCATGTTTTATAGTGATTATCTTACTTGCTAGTTGAAACAATTGTACTCTATAGTACTTTTATTCTGTTTCTACCAGTGAGAAAACAGACACTGTGAGGTTAGTAACTGTGAGAGTTCTGACCTTGAAAGTCAGACCACAGAATAATCTGTGTTCTTAATTTAGCAGAATGTCTTTGCTCAGATTATATATACCTTTTTAATCTACCTTCTCCATTGGTTGTTCATCATAAATTTTTTCTCAATAAGAATCAGTCGGATGTGGTAGCTCATGCCTATAATCTTAGGACTTTGGGAGAAGGAGGTGGGAGGATCCCTTGAGAGCGGGAGGCTGAGGTTGTAGTGAGCTATGATGATGCTGCTGCACTAATGCCTGGACAACAGAGTGAGACCCTGTCTCTAAATAAATAAATAAATAAATGTATGTATGTATGTATGTCATGGCCAGATGTGGTGGCTCATGCCTGTAATCCCAGCACTCCAGAAGGCCAAGGCGGGAGGACCACTTGAGGTCAGGAGTTGGAGACCAGCCTGAGCAAGAGCAAAACCCCGTCTCTACAAAAATAGAAAAATTAGCCAGGCTTGGTAGCACGTGCCTGTAGTCCCAGCTACTCAGGAGGCTGAGGCAGGAGAAGCACTTGAGCCCGGGAGTGTGAGATTGCAGTGAGCTTTGATGATGCCACTGCACTCTAGCGTGGGAGACAGAGCAAGACCCTGTCTCAAGAAAAAAGAATCTGTATCACTGTTAGCATTCCATGCCATTATATAGCAGACCATAATGTATTTAACTGTCCTCTACTATGAGATATTTCTGTTTCTGTTTTTTCATTTTTAAACATTATTCTCTGGAAATTGTGGATAAGATCAGTTGGTGCAATCTATGTCCATGTCCTGGTTGTGATATTGTAGTATAATTGTTAAGTATCTGCACTGTGCCAGACCCTGTGATGTTAGTACTTAGAATTAATGACTCAAGGGATATAACTGCTACCTATACATTGTTATAATCCAACAAGGAAGCGAAACTGAATCAAAGAAGCTCAGCGCAGCCTGTAAGCAAGGCCTGTGGAGAATCCCAGAGCCTTGCCCGAGAGGTGCTAGAAAAGGGGCATCATCCTGGGGACAGCCATGTCTTGAGCAGATCACACCCGATCCAGAGGTCACATGAGGTCCGAGTTGGGATGACGCAGCCTCTCTTCACACAGGAAGGGCTGTCTTCAGGGAGCAGGATGTGCTCAATGTGACACTGTCCACTCTGACAGCCCTTTCAGGTCTACTCTCAGGCCCCCACCAGGAGAATGTTCTGGACTCCATTTCCCAGAGGCCTCCAAAGCCTGGCCCCATGAGGGGGCGCTGAATTGCATGCTGGGACACACAGGGACTTTCAGGCTCTGCTTTCCTGGGATGCCATCTGGGGTCCTCCTCAACCCTTGTACCCCCTCCTGACATCTCAGTGGTGGTTGGGCCTGAGCAGGGGATTGTTTGCTTCCAAGAAAGAACCCAGAACCCAGGGGTGTGGTGGGCATGGCAATGAGGCAGCCACCGCCTTGAAATAGAGCCTTGACCTGTGGCTTCCAGACGTGGGAAGATTTGTGTATGTTTGTGTGTCAGTGAGTCTGTGCATAAGAGAGACTGCATGACGGGTGAGCCCTGTGCCCTGGTCTGTGACACACTTGCGTGTGAGTGTGTGTGGGGGGTGATGCTTCCTGGCCTTGTCACAGTAACTGTGACACCTGTGTGTGAATGTCATTGGGGGTGATGGGGGTGGTTCTGGGTGAGGGTCTGTACCAATGACACAGCTGGCTACATCTCCCCGACTCTTCGCAGGGTGAGGTAGGTATGTGTGGGCTCTGTGGAGTGACACAGGGACCGGTCATTGAACTATGCCATGCACTTGCTTAGGAGTGTGGGAGGGACAAGTGCCAGGGTTGTGTTTGTCTTTAGAGCTGTGACACAAGTGTTTTCAAGTGTCTTTGCTGGCAAAGGGGCTGCGTGTGTGTTCGTTTTAGGTGGAGACCTGCTCTGCCGCTCTGTGAGGTGCGTGCCTGCAGGATGGGTGGAGGCGGCACAGCCAGGATGTATCTTTGCACTCCTGTCACATCGACAGGGATGGGTGGGGACTCTCTGGCCTGCCTGTCAGTGGGTGTGATGGGGTCTGGGATTGGGAGTCAGTGAGTGGTTTAGGATGGTGTTTGGGTGATCAGGGGCATGGCCTACCGAGTGGGTGTGGCTGTGTATGACAATGTAATCTGTATTTCCAGTGTCCCTTCTGCTTCCTCTGCCTTCGTCTTCCAACCATGTGGTTCCTGCGTGGGAGCAGTGGCCCCAGTGGGATGTGAGAGCCAGGACCTTGTCGTGAATGTCATCAACAAAAAGGGCACAGACATAGCCATGAGGTAACTTTAGAGCCGTAAGTGTTTTCCATGCAGACTCCTGTATGACAGGAGCAGAAAGCCTCATGAATGAGATTCCTATTTGGGAGGGGAGAAGTACGTAGCTTGGTGCGTGAGAGGGGAGGCAGCTCCATGTTCTAGAACCCCAGCTAAATATAGCTTAGTCCGGAAGATCTCTGAAATTCTTGAATGCCTGCGCCGTCTTACTTCTGACTGGTTTTAGCTGTGGCCTGAGGACAGGTGTGCCCTGGAAGGTATTTTCTAATGTAGTCTGTGCTCCAGGAAGACCCTGGTGCTCATTCTTGCCCTCTTCTTCTAGGTCAGCTGTCCTTCAGAAAAAGCATCCTGAGGAGAAATAAGAATTGTTACATACCTTAAAACCAGCTTTATTAAATGTTCATTAAATTTGTGTTTATATGGTTTAGGACTAATTGCTTTTTATGGCCCTAAATTTCCTCCCTAATAGCAATTTATCCCAGTAATTCCTCCCCAAGAGGCGTGACAAGAGTATCCCTCTGTGTACTCCTATTGACCAACCCTCTCTTTGAGTGTTCACATACCCCCTTACCAAATTGTTCAAGTCCTCCTGTGTGCTCTGGTGTCTGAGAATCTGATGTATAGAAAAATACCTTCTAGAGCTTAGCACTTTATTTTATAGTGTGGTTTCATAAGGAGGTGTTCAGTTTTTAGATGGAATCAAACACCAGATATCTTTGGTCTTTTTCCATGGGACAAGTTTTCAAAACACAGCAAAAGGGGAGAAGGTTTGATTGTTTAGTCAGTACATGACAAAGTTGTCAGTTTTGTGAGGCTTTTTTTATTATTATTTTATGTTTTCTAGAGAAAGGGTCTTATATATTGCCCAGGCTGGTCTCAAACTCCTGGCCTCAAGTGATCCTCCCGCCTCTGCCTCCCAAAGCACTGGGATTACAGG